CTTACACAAAAGTCTCTTTCAGAAAGACTAAATGTATTTAGGAGCGGCTGTTACTTAGAGATGGAAAAGAAATAAAGTAGCAAAAGTTGGTAGCACATATTATATGAAAGGATTAAATAACCTTCTGTATATTTATTTATATTATATATTTATATATATATATGTATATGTATAAAAGACTTTTGTGTTCAGTAGGAAGGCTCAATCAGGTAAGAAAACCAAGACCAGTGGGGATATCTGACATTGAACCATGTTGGAATTGTCTCCTGGGGGCAGATATTGCAAATCTGACTTGAGCTACTAGAGCTATCTTTGGAGATTTCTGTTGAAGAACAGGATCTTCATCAACACTAGACTTAATCAGAAATGGAAATGAGAATGATTTTTTAGTATTTATTTATCTATATATCTCGAGGAAACGCAAGTAACTTTAAGGTCCCTTCTCCATTTAAATCCGACTTGATTCACAAGACTCTACGGGGGCTGTTTCTGGAAGCTATTTTACAAGTAACGTGGTAGCAAATAATGAAGGTAGGATGACCCTTCAGGAAGCAGGGTAGGGCAGAGTCAGAAAGCTGGAGTCATGAGGCAGCAGACGGGCTATTTAAGGATAGATGTAGAAAGGAGACTATAAGCCCTGAGAAAGGATTTTTCTCATCATGAGTTGTTAATACAAAACAGGTAAAAATGTATTCTGCATCATCCAAGTTCCCAGGATCTGTCCTCATCAGGAAAGCATGCTTACATTTTCTATAAAGAGGTGGTTATTAAAAGTAAGATTATCAACAGCACACCCAAGGGACTACAGCCGATTTCCCTAATCCTTATAATGTGATTGGTAAAAATCATATGGGGTCCCTGGAAAGTGACTAGATTGACATTTTCTCTGGTGCAGCTTTGTTAGAGATTTTGACTCAGCTTTAAATGAGTTGTGTTTTCTTTTTGCTAGGCAGAGAGACAGTGTTTCTGTTTATTTTCCAAGGTACATGTTTTCCCTTGTCCACATCTGGTCTCACACAGAATGATTACTCACATTAGCCTTTTGGATTTTTAAGACATTATGATTTACACCTTTCAAGTAACTCTTTGCGGCATCAGCTATGTTTACCACTAGACTGAGAACTTTAGAGTGAGTGTTTTCAAGGCCTCTCAGCTGCCCTTGCATCCTAGTTATCAGAGGTGCCGAATGGACCCCAGTAGATTGTACTGACCCGGCTTGATTCAAACTCTTGGGATGAGAGAGCTCCCTGAACACACCAGGGTCACACCAGTTACAGATACGAACATCTGCTGAATAAAGCAAACTTTATAAATATATATAAATGTAAGGTGCCTGGATAAAAGAAGTTAAAGTTAGATTTTTAGTTGATAGGTTTTGCTTATAAGGCTTTTAGAATTAAAGCAACCTACTGGGTGAATTTAAAAATAAAAGTAAGACAAAATTGGGTAGTATACAAAAGGAAACAGAGCAGTGAAATTCAGATTCATAGATAAATTTAGAACTTTGCTAATTACTATTAGGAAGTAACTCTATACTTTTTTCTCCTACAGTTATTAGCATTTTTCCAAAATCAGAGGCAAGGAACTCTTTGACTTTCAAGAGGGAGAATTGCTTAGGGAGGTGGGTGCAGTGGGGCCTGTGGAAAATAGTAACACACCTTTTCTAACGGGGGTGAGATGGCTCTGGGATATCCATCGATACTTAGGTATCAGTGCGTTACAGGGAGTACTTTAAGGCAGAGACTTGTTGGAATGTGCAACAGGCTCACCCTAAAGTATGAGACCTACAGGTGAGGGTGTTTAAAGTTTTGTGAGAGAAAAGAGAAGTCAAGCTAAGGTCAGTATAAACCACTAAGGCTATAGAAGGGCCCATGGCCAGAAAAGAAATTGAGAATGAAGACACTATTACAAAATAAGCTTCATTGCAAGACTATAGAGCACCATTAACTATGCAAATGCTATTAAATGCATGGAGGGTTTTGTATAATAACAAATATTGCATGGCGTTATTTAAATCTGATATTATTCCCCACGTTTACTTGGTAGTTTTCTGAAGAGAGGCTCAGCAGTACAAGGTTAACACAGTCCTCAGCAAGCTGGAGCCGTTGAAAATAATAGTTGGTGCCTTCCATTCAAATTAAGGGATCAGGCAGAGCCCCAGGATGCTTTCCTGGGAAGCGGCTGCGAAGCATAAGCCTCATCGATGAGGACCCTGTATGGAGACAGGAAACACGGTACTCCTCTGTGCTGTCCTTGATGCCGCCCTGGAGCAATGATGGCGTGCAGTTCTTGTTGTGTTGTGCTGTGTTGTGTTTGGCAATGAGTTTTGTGTGTGCATGCCCTGAGACGGATCAGTATAATGGTTTCTGGTCAATGCTACATTGAAGTCTTAGTGTAATATCCTTTAAAACATTCTTTGTGTCCCTCCCACTCCTCCCTCAAAAAGCCAAAATGGGGACAATATAAATTAACAAAAGGAAAATAAATTAGAGTAGCAAATGTAAAAGCAAGACAAACTCCAAATGAGAATAAGTTTCTGGACAGGAAAAAAAAAGCCAAGTGAATAACAGTGGGAGCATTATGTACTTAATTAAACATGAGATTTAAATTTGGGGCAGTGGGTTACATTGGAACACTGACATTTGGCAAGAGGAATTCGTTTGCATGAAGAAATCAGGGTTGTCATCCAGCGCTGTTGTCGCTTTAGTAAGTCTTTAAATTCCCGTCTTTTCCCTCTGTACTTTTCCATTACATGCAGCACATTATAACCAGATCAGTGGGGCAGCCGAGAGAGCAGAATTTCTATTTCAGAATGAACGTTGATAGTTGATAGCCTAGCAGCATAATGAGCCACGTTGCTGGTGGAGAGTCCAAGTTTATACAGATTGTTCGCGTCTAAACAGTGACCCTCCCAAGCCTGAAGATTTCCTCAGTAATCCCAGATGGCCGGTGCCGTGGGAGGCCTCGTGAACCAGCCCTCCCTGGGCTGCTGCTGGGAAGGAGGAGAGGCCGCCGCGCCGGCTTTCCTGTGACAGTGAGGGAGGCCCTGTACACCCCACTTAGGGACGCATGATTCCACCCACTGTGACGTCGGGCACATTCAATCCACATTTTCCTCTCATTAACTTTCGTAAGCCATATCCACGTTTTCAAATTAAGCGTGTTGCCTTAGCACAGATAATCTGTGTTTTCTGCACCATGGAGAACGCAGGGGTGGGACATACAGTCGTTGAGGGGGAATTGCCTGGTAATGACATAGCTTGTGTTTATTAAGTGCTTTCTGTGAGCAAAGCATTAGGCTAAGCCCCTTTCATGCGTTATGTCATTTAATCACAACGGAATTCTAATGGGTTAAATACTATTATAACCTTCACAGTAACGAAAAGGAAACTGAGGCTTATAAAGCTTAAATAACTTGCCCAAGTAGCAGAGCTGAGACTTGAACTCAAAACTTGTCTGATGCAATCCCCTGCTTTTAACCACAGTATATTGACTTTCCTTCAAAATATCTAGGAGCAAGAAAGACCTAAAATTTGTTGCTAAGGTCTCTCTGGCAATACTTTAATGTCTCTTGTTACTATAACATGCTTCTTTTAGAATTCAGTGAAGTATGAGTCATCTGGTAGAACATTCTGTTCTCATACGGACTGGGGAGGAACGTGAACAGTCACGTGGACGGTTCCTTGCCTCTCAGCCTTTGATCCACATTTTCAATGCCATCTTTCCTGTGTAACCTTTTCCAGGAAACCCTCCCCACCAAAGTCAGTATTAAGCACTCTCTCCCGCACAGTCCCCACCATACGTTAAGCCTAGTGTTTCCTCTCTTCTCTGCACTTCTTTGAGGTTTCTAGAGGGCAAAGTCTGTACCTTGTTTGTAGCTTCATCTCCAAAGCACAGCTCCAGGGCAAGGAGAGATTGTAGAACTGAGTAAAATCTCATTTAAAACATACTGCTTCTATTTCATATATTTAGATGTTTTTATTTACACTTTAAAAGTGCCTAAGAAATGAGAGGAAAGAACAAAGGCCAAGTCAGTTGATTTATTTGTATAAACTAATACTAGCCCTGACCAGGTGCGTCTACCCAGGTCAGTCATTTGTCACGTGGGCCCCAGGGGAGAGCCCTCCGATGACTCTGTTGGGATTCACAGTCGTGTAGAGCTACCACTGGCACAGGGCTTGCCACTGCCAACAGGCCAGCACCTCCCCTCTCACATTTGCCACAGTGAATTCAAGCAGTTGTTCAAACAGCATCATTTGTATACTGAACAGTGTAACAGTAAGTTGGACAGGGATCGGAAGACTAGGGGGATTTCAGGAGAGGGAAGTTACAAAGATAAACATAATGGCAAAACTCCCCGTTTTCAAAGAAGTCATTTTCTACTAGAGAAAACATGCAGAATTTTGTTCCCGCCTATATTTAGCATTTATTTTGTTCTGACTTTTCACAAAAGCAATTTTTATTTGCATAACACTTGACAGTTTATGAAGCACGATCACACTCATTTATTGTTTCATTTTGTGTTCAAGACAGGCCCCCAACCAGCGTCCTGCTGGTGCTGAAGATGGAACACACTGTTGCTTCCTGAATCCCATCTCTGGGAATTAGAGACCACCAGTGGAAGGTCGTGCTAATTTAAGATCACGCTGATGCCACAGAGAAGAGGCTGAGCTTTTGTTAGAGACATTAAAGGAGCACGTCCTAGGCTAGACTTCTATATTGTAATAAATCAGTCCCTGGTTCCATTTTTAGCTCTTAGTCTAAGGGAAAAAAATTTCTTACTTTAAAAAACAGGGATATATTAACCATACCAACTCTTTTATGCTCGATCACAACTTCTCATTGTGATGCCGTCTTCCCGTTGAGATGCTGCACCTCAGGCCATTTCTGCACAATTGTAGCCAACTGTCATCAATAAAGTCAAGAAAACAGGGCAGAAGATTTTTACAGTGGTTGTTGTTTCGTTTTATCTTCAAGAAAGCAAAGCAGAAGGCAAAGAACTCTGACAACCAGAAAAAAAGCTCTTACAGATAAATGGCATGTTTACATCCATTTTTTTCCCCTGTCATAATAAACCCAAATCAGTTTCCTTCTAATTGATAAACGTTGATTGTATTTGAGAGAATGACACATGGCTTCAAGGATCGGTTGAGTCAATTTTATTAAGGCCCAAAGGGGTGATAGAAGATTAATGTTTGCCTTCTTGGGACTGGCTGAGCCACCCTCTTCCCAAGAAGGAAGCACGATATAACTCATGCAGCTGAGACAGTATAGATGAGTTCCTCAACTGGTTGGACCCTGAGGGTCACACACCCCAGGGACAGCACTGTCAATGCAACCGTATCTCACCAGATACTAATGCAGCCATAAATTTGAGGATGCTCCAGGCCCGATCATTTCTTTTTTGAACTGGCAACTGATTCACCCACCTTGGGAAAAAAGAGATTTTGGAAGAAGGTCAGAAAGTGAAGGCACATATTTGCTTGCTCAACAATATATTCTCCTCCAACATAGAAATGACCCCGCAGTACAATTAGCACCAAAATATTCCCCACCACACGAGTCCTAAGAAAGAAGTAAAAATACTGACAAAGGAAACGTGCTTCATCACCTTTTAGCAAAAGAGGAACAGCTAAAAGTGAGTATCCAGGCTTTTGATTGGGTTACTTCCACTTTCCAAGTCCAAAGAACTAAAAGACTATGAAACGCTATCACTGGAACAGATAGGTAGACAGGTTGGATATACAGCTCCTAAAGTATCAGTTGAAAATCAATAATTAAATATGTCCATTTTAAAACATCATTTCCTACAGGAGGAATAACATTCTGAGGGGGATGACCTTTTCTTTCTCATTAGGTGCAGAGAAAATAAGCTGACAGAGCATGAGCGATTTAGAGGAGACTAGGCATACCTTCCTGATGAGGGGAGAACATTAAATGACTGGGAAAAAATTTCTCTCATAGTCTTGGAAAATGGGCTATATTTTCTGTTAGAATGGATCTAATTGCAGTTCTGATTAGGTGGGGACAAAGAAGTTTGTTTTTTTCTTTTAAAGAATATTTTATCCCCATAAGTCTTTTTAAAATTAATTTTTGAGGTAATTATAAATTCACATGCAGTTATAAGAAATAATGCAGAGGTACCACCTTTACCCAAAGTCCCCCAAAGGTAAGTAACATCTTGTAAAACCACACTCCAGTGTCACTACCAGGATCTTATGTTGATACAGTCAAGGTACAGAACAGCCCCATCACCACAAGGATCCCCTCCCTTGTACTTTTATAGCCACATTTGCCTTTTCCTCTCTCCCTGTCCCTCACCCCTGGCAACCACTAGTTTCTTTTCCATTTCTAAAATTTTTTGATTTCAAAAGTGTTGAATCATACACTGTGTAGCTTTTTGATATTGATGTTTTTCACTCAGTGGACTTCCTGGAGATTCATCCCAGTTGACGTGTGTATCCATTGCCTGTTCCTTTTTCTTGCTGACGAATCTTCCGTGGTGAGGCTGTGCCGCAGTTTGTGTTCACCATTGAAGGACATCTGGATTGTTTACAGCTCTTGGCTACTATGAATAAAGCTGTTATGAACATTCATGTACAGGTTTTCATATGAATATAAGTTCTCCTTTCTCAGGGGAAAATGTCCAGGAGAGCAATTGTTGAGTTGTGTAGTGGTTGGGCATTTAGTTTTATAAAAAACTGCCAAAATGTTTTCCAAGGTGACTGTACTATTTCACATTTTCACCTGCATTTATTGCTGTCATTCTTTTTTATTTCAGCCATTCTGATTGGTGTTTATTGGTATCTCATTGGGGTTTTAGTCTGCATTTCCCTAATGGCTAATGTGGTTGAATATACTTCCTGCTTCTGTGTGTGGCCTCTGGTGAAATGTTTATTCATGCCTTTCGCCTATTTTCTGATTGGACTGTTTTTTTTTAACTGCTGAGTTTTTAGAGTTCTTTAATATATTTAGTTAGTAATCCTCTGTCAGATACGTAATTTGAAAATACTTTTTCCCGGGGGGTAGCCTGTCTTTTTATTCTCTTAACAGAGTCTTTGGAATTCAAATATTTTAAATTTTGTTGTGATTCAAATGATCAGTTTTTCCTTTTGGTTCATGTCTTTGAACATTTTGTTTAGCTCTTGATCCTGAAGATTTTCTTATTTTTTTCCTGAAAGTGTTTTTATAGTGTAAGATTTTACATTTAAGTCCATGATACATTTTGAGTTAATTTTTTTATAAGGTGGCAGTTCATTTTTTGCCGAAGAATATTGAATTGTTCTAGAACCATTTGCTGAAAAACGATTTTTCCCTTTTTTGAGTTACTTTTGTAACTTTGTATGATCATATCTTTTAATACCTAAGAAGACACAAATTTAACTAAATTTTCTTACACTTAAGAAAAGCAATTGTCCATGTGTAGAGCGCTAATTCTGTGTATGGGCATTGTTCTCAGCCCTTTATGTATCTTTACTCATTTAATAGTCTCTCCATAACTTGTAACTCATTTAATTGCCTTAATAACTTGTTGAGGTGGGCAATATTGTTCCCATTTTACAGATTAGGAGCTTGAAACATTGCCAGGTTAAATGATTTGCTCAAAATCACAAAGCTAGTAAGTTGGCAGCTAGAATTTGAACCAGGAAATGTACCCCCAGAGATTGGGCTCTTAACCTTTGTGAGAACTGTGTTGTTTACAGTGCGCCGATGTTTAGCAAAATAGCGAATGTTTTGCCATTTTCCTCACTATTATCCCAAGGCATTTCACCCCGTGTAGGAATGAAAGACTCTCTCCACACACCCCGTTTTTAGGTTTCATGTTTTTGATGTATTATTCATATTAAAACCCTCATATCCATAAAAGTACAGCTTAAGAATCAAAGAGCTTTCAATTATTTTAAAAATTTGGAGTCTGTTTCACAAGTTGAAGCTCTCAGTGTTGACACCTTGACCTTCCTGTTACCTGCCAACCAACCCTTTTCCATAGAAAAGGAAAAGGGCTAAAAACACTTCATGAATCCACCGGGGAATCCCAGTGCTGTTGCCATTAGCCAGTAACTCGGGACTGGTTACTAGAATCAACTCTTTTTTTTTTTTTTTCTAACATTTGTTCTTTCACATTTGTTTCCTGGTTTCTTAGGATAAACACAGCAAGTATTCATGAAAAATGAAGGCAGTGTGGAAGGAAGTGTTAGCAATGCTGTCAGGGAAAAATGAAAGGAAAATGGCGATGCAGGATTTCCAACGTGGTAAATATTTTGTTCCAAATGCAGGAAGGAAAATGGGATTTTAAAAGATAAACAGTGACAGATTATTAAAAACATAGACTCTTTGTAAAAAACAAAATACCTTATTTTATTACAAGGGCAGTTTGGAATCTTTATTTCAAAAACTATTTCTGAACTTACATAATCTGACACAGATGAAAGCCAGCAATTCCTTCTCAAATGTGAAATCAAACTGACGTGGGTTATAGGGAAACTGTTAAACTGACTTTGAAGAATTCCTAATTATTCTATTCATCTATTAAGTGGTAATTTCTTGGATTTTCCTCTCAAGTGAGAGGCACTGTCCTAAGAATGGTGCTTGTAGTATTTTGCCTTATTGAGAACAGGAAAATGGGATAAAATCCTGCTGGAATGTTTCTGAAGTCTTCATAAGAAAACTACATGGTATGATCTTAAAGTCCCAGGATGTTTTAAAGCTGTCATCTCGATTTTCAAAATGTCTCCGAACTAGGTTTCCAAACCTCCCGAAATATTTCTGTCACTAAAATTGGATAGATTGTGCCTGTTACGTATCTGGGAGATTGTTTAGAAATTGCAGGGTACTATGTCTGCAATTGATGAAGCTGCCAACAGTAGAGGTGATAGGATTTATGGAATATAAACCACATAATTAGGTTCTTCTGAATTCACAGGTAAGTGATATAAAATAGATCGCTCTGCAACCTTGAATCTACTTCCTTCTCCTCCTCTCCTCCCCCTCCCCCACACTCTTGGTCTTTCTTCTACTCTTCTTTGTTCCTTGTCACCTCCCATACGTGAGGAATTCATGCCACATGTTAAAATAATACTAATATTTAATTAAATTTTAATTTATCTATGTTTAATTAAGAGAAATTTGGGATTACAAATCCATTTTATGTAATGGTCCTTGATGAAGCAGACAGAGTGAACAGGAGTCGGAACTGTAAAGAAGCAGTCAGACCTGTTCTTGTTGGTTTAGGCTGAAGGAAATCTGGGGCATTAGGAAAAGGCCAGCTTTTAAAAAAAAAAATTAATTTTCTCTCTGCTTTCCTTTTCTTCCTATAGGAAAGCTCAATATTGCAGCAAGACATTTAACTGTGTAGGTAATCTGTGTTTCAAATTTCATTATAAAAATCTAAAAGGGCAAAAGTAAAATAGAGTGTAGTACATGGAATCATCAATGTCTCTGAGAGACTCAGTGGTGAGACAACTCCAAGAAAAAGGGGAATTCAGAAAACTTGCCCTTTTTTAATGACCACATACAATTTATGACTTTCCAAACGGCCTGCTTGCTTTGGTGAAGTCTATTCTTTACAAGATCTTCTGAGTGATCCTCTTAAGATGTAAACCAGATCATGTCAACTCAAAACCCTGCAACGGCTTTCATTCTCACTCGGAATAAAACCCAGAGTCCTTTCAGTGGGCTTGCAAGATCCCATACAGTGTGTATCTTGTGTCCTTCTGATCTTCCTTTCTCTCCTTTGCATCTCCAAATTCGTTCCTCCATCTGCCTGGACTGTTTCTCCCCGTGGCTTGCTCTCTCATCTCCGTCAGGGCCTTGCTCAGCTGTCCTTTTCTCAGGGAGACTTTCCTAGGCTGTTTTACACAACCATCCTCTTCCCTGACTCCTACCATTTCTCATTTCCCTTGGCCTTATTTTTCTCCTTAGTACTTTTCAAAATTTTACATTAAATGTATTACATATTTCTCGTTTTCAGTTGTTTGTGTTGCTTTATCTTTTCTATTCCCTCCTAAAATATAAGTCCCAGAAGTGTAGGAATTTCTGGCTTATTAGTTAAGTAGTGCATTTAAACATATAAACAGATTCTGGCACATAACACGGTCTTAGTAGATATTTGTTGATAAATGCTTATTAATAAATGAACAAGCCTTCTTTCAACACAAGCTAAAAGAAGCCTGCTATTTCTCATTTAATATTTATAAAGGACTATGGACAGAGGGAGGCAGAACAGGCAAAATCATTGGCTGGACATCTGTAATTAAAATTTCAAAAAAGATTATGCATGTAGTTTCCTACTTTGGGGTGTAATTATGAGAGAGGTCTACCTAAATTAGTTAGTTAACTAATTGAAATTTCTATTTCTATTTTACTACAGGAGACAATGCAGTTACAGTGCCTCAGTCCATAGAACAATGTCAACATTGATTCAGTAAAACAGAATTTGGCATAAGAAAAACTATCTAAGCAGCTTTGAAGTTGGCCAGATTAGGGTTGATTCCCAGCTGGTAATTATCCATATGAATGTGGCTAAGTTGATAGCCCTTTCTTAGCTTCAATTGTTTTTTTCCTTCCTTAGTGAATGGTGATACTATTAAGTGTTGACTTAGTTTCCTGGAACTGTGGTAACAAATTACTACAAACTTG